AAATTGTGGATGTTTATCATCGCAGATGTTTTTGTGGCATTACACACTGATGGAAAACCGTGGAAAGTTGTTCAACTACAAACATAAACGTTTTTTGTTAAAAAAGCTTAATATTCAAGTTTTTTAATCGACAGGAAAAGATCTGTAATGACAAAAGTTCAAAGGTAACTGGCGTCAACCGTCGGACCATTAAGCCCGTAACACTGACCGGAAGTTCATAAAGGCGCGGACTACACGATGACTCTTAGCTAAGTGTGTGTGGGAGGGCGGCAGTGTTTCTCTGCGTGGGCTGAATATTTGCTTCCAAAATGTCTTCGCTTCAGCATATGAGAGACTTTATCTGCCAGCGTCTAACTGCGGCTGCTGAAGAAATATTCTCAGAGTTTGAAAAAACCGTCGTCCATTACGAGGAAGAGATCGATCGTCAGCGCCGGCTGTTGGAAATCACATTGAGCCCCCGAGTGCAGCTGCACAGAATAGGTATGAAACACAACTTAAAACTAGGCGGTGGAGGTATGTGGAGGGGGCGTGGCGCTCAGCTGCAGGGGGAGGTGTGGAGGAGGCTCGGGGAGCAGAGCCAGGGGAGGTGATTAGCACACCTGGAAACGGTCAACTAATCACTCTCCCCTTATAAAAACAGTAGTGTGCTGGACCTGGGGAGGTGAGCCGGAGCCGGGACGAGCCGCCCTGTCACGACCCCGAATGGGAATACAACAAAAAGGAAAGCCCAAGCTGGGTGTGCGTGCGCGTGTGAGTGTTTGCGGGCGTATGCATGAGTGTGTGTGCAGGCAGCACACACGCTCCAAATAAAAACCCCTTGCACCAAATCCTGGTCTCAGACTCTGTCAGGCACCCACGGTGACGCGACTGTCACACTCTCTTATAAGCTCTCAACTCCTGAATTCTTTATTCAATTTTCTTCCCTGAAGCCAAAAAAATATGCTGGTCATCTCAAAGTTTTTTGTAGTATGTTTAATCCTTCCTCCCGTGGTCGGTTTAAAGAAGCCTAAATACTGAGCTACGTTCCAAAAGCAGGTTATAATCCCTATTTACTGACCTGGGGATATGAAACTTTTTTTCTGTTTCTAAATAAATGTTAAAATGGATTTTGTCTAAATACTTAATGAAACAAAACAATGCATCAATTAGAAATGTAATTAATGTTTTTGGCAGATTATTAATTAAATGGAATCAGAAAAAATCTTTAAAATCCGTTTTGGCTTTGCGATTAAGTGTTTAGTGTGTAGAAGCAATTTAGTAAATTGCATCTGTATACATGCTGTTAGCCTCAAGTGGCTCAATCCAAAGCTCATCGGCTGGAAACACACCTATGCTCTTAAGTCGAGTCACCAAAATGTCACTTAAACAACAAGCTGAAAGTAAAATCTCAAAATCAGTTGGAAAACCAATCGCAAAGCAAATGAAGCAGAATCATCCCCAGCAATGCGAGAACATCCTAGATGAGCACCAAAAGGAAAATTACAGATATCTATTCCAGGTTGTTCAATATAGATAAACATAAGATAGATCAAATCATAATTAATGTTCATAACCAACATTCATGTGCTGCAGTCAGAATGATAGGAGCAGGTAGTCATACATGATATTTTTCTTTATTT